CGCATGCCGCTCCGGGCGTGGGGGCGGCCTCGCCAGCTCCGGAGGGTTCCACAGGGGTTTCCAGGGAGGTGCGGGCGGGGGGGCGGGAGCGCCCGGTCTGCCCGTCCACGTGGATCGCAAGCGAGATCCCTAAGCTTGCTGAGAGTAGGCTAGGCCATACGTCCACGCCGAACGATGCAGTGGTTGCACGCGATGAGAACCGGGAGACTCTAGGGGCAGCGGTCGAGGTGGCCAGCGAGGGCTCCTGGCTTGCAGATCTTGGTGGCGATACGTGGGCAACGGAGGGAATCGATCCGCAATTGCTCACTGCCGCCGCAGGTGTTTTTGCCCAATGCGTTGCACCAAAGGACAATGAGGAAGAAATTGGTCTGGATAATTGTAGCTTAATCATTGTTGAACGACGAGCATAAGGAAGGACTGTGCTTAATACCTTTTTTTGACTCATGTTGAAATAATGATATATATATATATATATATATATATCAAATGAACGAAGTAAATAAAGGGCAAGAAGAAAATAAAAAGGCATTAATATGGACTAATAAAAATGACGATGCTTTATCTTAGGAACTAACTACCATTCTTGCCTAAGCAATCTTCGTCACCTCATTGACTCATAGTGAGATGTAAAAGTATTGATAGACACATATTATACATATGGCTGTCTTTTTTTCCCTGCAAAGGGACAGAAGTGTTGAATTTAATTCAATTGCACCAATAACCAGGGGTGCCAGAGTGTATGCTTCTTCTCCTTCTCTAAAATTGATCGTTCAGAATATTGTGGATAAACCCACATCAAAAAAAGACGATTACATGCGACTTTATTAGTTCTCATGTCATCTTTTATTTTGACTTGTTGTTTTCATCATTTTAAATTTTTTTTCTATTGGTGTGTAAGTGTTGCATCGATATACAGACCTGCGCATCTTATCACCAGATGAATAGCAAATGTCTAAAAATGACAAAATATTGGTGCGATATGCTGTTTATATCAAGCTGCAAGTCTCCCGGACTTGATTAATCCTGCATGTGAATTCCCCTCGTGGTGATCATTTTTTCTCGTGCTCTTCTCACCACCCACATCATCAACTTAGTGTTATTATTGTGCCTCCGCTGCGTTACAGTATTGATGTTGTATGTGTGAATGCAAAGAAGTGAAGGTATAATCTTCCTATCTTTCTCCTTCGGGTTTTCTCTTGCACGGTTATCCCTTGATCGATTTTTATTTCTAGATTTCTTTCAAGACATTAGTCTGGACGAAGATGAGCCAGCTTCCTCTATCTTCGCCTTGTATCCTCCAACTTTGTCGACTCCATTCAGCATAGACTCTCTACTATTAACAAATGTTTCTTTGGCTTGGTGGGCTTCGTTTTTATAGAGGTGAAGATGGAGCCTCAATTCATATTGTATTTCTCACACAATACAATTGCTTCCTATTATTATTATCTGGTGTCCACGTTCAGCTGCACTCCTCTCGGTTTTCTTCAAATGCATTAGTTTCCTTGACTTCTAATTCTCCATAGATAATTACAGATGACGCCACAGCAAGTCATCATTTGTCTATCTAAGAGAAAAAGGAGGAAGAGGTAACCTTGTAATGATCTGGAGGAGTGGGCACGACAGCGAATAATTGGTATGTGGTGGGGCTGACCGTCACCGCTACGCAGTCTTATCCTGAGTGAATCTTAAACAGGAAGAATATTTTTTATCACCTAAAAAAGT